TCCTTGGAAGTATCACTGACTCAAGAACAGAAACCTGAACAATCTATTATCAACAAAAATCTAGTTAAAAATCTTCCCACTCGGGGTGCCTGGGTGGCTCAGTCAGTTGAGCGTCTGACTCTTGATTTCAGCTCAGGTCATGATCTCAGGGTCAGGAGATTGAGCCCCGAGTCAGCTCTGAGCTGAGTGTGGAGCCTGCTTAGGATTCTCTCTCTCCCTCTGTCCCTTCCCTGTACATGTTCTCTTGCTCTAAAAAAAGTATAAAAAATCTTCCCACCCACCCTAAAAATGCCAGGCAAGTTGGTTTTACAGCAAGTTTTACCGAAAACTTTAGAAATGCAAAATTCCAATCTGGTACAGACACTTGTAATGAAAATAGAGAACACTCTCTAACTTATTTTAAAAGGTTGGCATAACCTTGATATAAAAAGACAAGGGCAGCATGGGAAAGAAAAAACATAAACCATCTCACTTATGGGCCTGAATGCCAAAATGCTCCCAAATATCAGACAATCAGATCCAGCAATAAGTTGAAAAATAGATCATGACTGTTTTATTCCAGGAATGCAAGGGTTTTACGGTGAGAAGCAGTCAAGGTCTCTTACCACATTTACAGGTTCAAGGAGAAAAAACACGTGGCTAGCTCAGACTGCCGTGTGTGCTCCCTGGCACATGTATGCGGGTGGCTGATGAGGGAGGAGGTGGGTGGGGAAGCTCGGGTGGAAACAACCTGCTGTAAGGTTGGTGTTACACATACAGAGGCCGAAGGGCCACAAGTCCAAAACCTAACTGCAGGAGGTGTCAGTACTCTTACACGATATGGGGGAAAAGAGGCTCTGAGAACACTCAGCTCACTCAGGGAGATCTATTCACTCATGGTTGGAATCTGCCATTAAGTTGGGAGGAGAGAGGTGGAATTCAGCTTCAGAGAATGGCCAACGGGAGGACTCTGCAGAACACAAAGACTCTACTTCCACCAGGATTCTAAGCTACAACCCACAGGAGCTAAATGGCTGATAAGAGACGGAGAAGTGGAGATGAAAAGGTTTTAGGGGGGGAAATAGGGGCTATTAGGTAAATCACACAATCACTGAGGGCTAGAGAAAAAAACTAAGGCCAGGCTTACAGATATAATGCCCCCCCCCAAAAAAAACACACAGATCCACGTGACTAAGTGGGTAACAGTCAAAGGAGTACTTAGAGGAAAATTTGTAGCCATAAATACATTAGAAAACAAGACTGAAATGAAGCATGCAGCTCAATAAAGTAGAAATGAGCAAATAAACCCAAAGAAACAGAAGGAAACGGCCAATAATGCAGGCAGACATCTTGCAAAGTTAGTCAAGGAAAATAAAATCCACAGAATACTGGACAAATGTTTTTTGGTTTTAACTGCTCGCACCCCTTGTCCACTTATTCTGGTAAAAGAACCGCTCTCTTCCCTGGGAAGCACATGCTGTACGTACGGATCAGGCTTGGCTCACCTTGCCTCTTACCCCATCCTCCCTATTCAGCCCTGGCCAAAGCACTTGCTCAGGAGAGGGCCGGTGACCCAAGACGACCAAATGGTCTTCTGTGAAATACACAGATGCTTACGAAGGAACTCTTTGCCCATTAGGACTGAGTGTAAAGTGGAGCTTCCTGCAGAAAACGATGGTAGGGAGACAGAGATTGGTCCACCTAGCAAAGTGGAGATAATCCAAGAAACAAATGAGAGGGAGTCCTGACAAAATCATGCTGGCTCTGGATCAGCTCTGCCTAGAGGTGTTCTCTTCGATTTTGGTCAATGAGCCCTAGTTTGCTTCTGTTATTTGGGAGTTAAATTTTGACACTTACAGGTAAGAAAGTCCCAAGTAATACAAATACTATGCATTACCCTTTTGCCTGAAAAAGCTTAAACACACATGAACTACGATTAAAAAAATATAAAGTGCCAAAATGGACTTAAGGATAGAGAACCTGAATAGACAAAAGGCCACAGAATTAAAAGGCAGGCAAATATCTACCCCTTAAAAAGGAACCAAACACAGATGTTTTTATAAATAAAGCCTACCAAACTTTGAAGCAACAAGTAACTCCTGTTCTACAAATTATTCAAGAACAAAGAAAAAGATTAAATGTCTCCAAGTCCATTCTACAAGGCTAGCATAAGGCTGTTACCAAATTGGGAAAGGGAGATCATTAAAGTAAGAAGTGAAATTGTCCCAGAAGTAAATATAAAAATCCTAAAGAAATAAGCAAACTCTAAAACTAAGTGGGGCTTATATGATATTGCAAGGATGGCTCAATACAAGGAACCCTGTCTGTGGAAAGCAGCACAATAATAAAAGGAAGTCTTTTGGTTATCTCAATAGGCAGCGAGATCCATCACTATAAATAAAGGGGAAAAGCCTTCAGTAAGCTAGGAACAGAAGGAAACATTTTTAGCCTAATGAAGGTTATCTACCAGACACCTAAAGCAAGAATTGTGTTACATGACTCATGAGAACAGTTCCCACAGGGAGAAAAATGAGGGTGCCACCCACTATACTGGAGGCCCTGGCCCCCATGACCCCTAAAAAGAAACAAGTATAAAGGATAAAGCTACCACCAGTAGGACATGATTGGACTGCCCAGAGAGCCAAGAGAATCAACTGAAAAACTATTAGAATTCCACAAAAGAATTCCATTAGAGGGTGCCTGGGTGGCTCAGTCAGTTAAGTGTCTGCCTTTGGCTCAGATCATGATCCCAGGGTCCTGGGATGGAGCCCCACATCAGGCTCCCTGCTCAGCGGAGTCTGCTTCTCCCTTTCCCCCTGCCCCTCCTCCTGCTTGTGCTGTCAAATAAATAAACAGAATCTTAAAAAAATTTTGATTAGATCAACTAGGGGAACAAAGACAGCTTCCCTAAATGCCAGTTGATAGAGATGTAATTTCAAAATATCCCATTCATAACAAATAACTAAAATTCCTAGTACTAAATTGAACCAGAAATGTGAAAGACCCATATGAAGACAACCTTACAAAGGCACGTACACACTCCGTTTCTGGATAGCAAAATTCAAAACTGTTAAGATAGCATTTTTCTCCACATCAAGCTGAGATTGAAAACCCTGCCAATGAAAATCTCAACAGGATTTTTAAATGGAAATTGACAAGTTCCTTCTAGAGTTCTTAAGTAAGAAAAAATATGAAAATTTCAAGGAACAGTGGGGCAGGGTGAGAGAGCTATGAGATTACCAGTCATGCCATAAAATACGGTATGTGCACATACATCAACGCAACAGAGGAGAAACTCCAAAAAGAGACCCATATGTATGCAGGAATTTAGTTTATTTTAAAGTTTAAATCTGTAAAGAATGACCCATTCAATAGATGATATAGAGACAAATGACTACCCCTTTAGAAAAAAAGTTGCCTCCCATAAAAAATAAATTTCAGACAAGTTAGATATACACACACATACGTATCCTTAACTAATCTGAAGTTTATTTTTTGTATATATACACATACACACAAATATACAGACATGTATATATTTAAAGCTATACTAAGCTAATATAAAGGAAAGTGAACAACGAGCAGAAAAATGAAGTGGTAGCTGGAGAGGACGTGCGATTAACAACAGGTCTTTCAGACTGTTTTAGAAGGGGGATTCTACAGCACCTCTGATGCTAACATACCCAGTACAGAGGACGGCAAAAAACAAAATTCACATAAACTCCTTACACAAGAAGACAGCCAAGCTCCAAAGCACGAGAGAAAAGGTTTAAGTCCCACTGGACTTAAACGTGAGGAAGTTAAAGACAAGACGATCTATAAGCACATTTGTAGGGTTGGTAACGAGGAGGTGAGAATCCTCTCCAATGGCTATCATTTCTTAATGAAGTATGTGGTGAACACCTAACAGGGGAAGGGGGAAATTGGTAGACAACACACAAGTTTTGAAATACGACATCCCAGAGATCTGCTAGGCAGTGCTGAGTGTCCACCTGAGGTTTGTAAATATGAATTTACAGTGAGTTAGGTTGGCTGTTTTCTCTGGTAGTTACTTGAGCACAGGCACAGAAGTGAATGGCTGGGTTGCCCAGGGTTGGGTCTTACTAGATAAATACAGGTGAGGGAAACAAGGTTGAGTGGAGGGTGTGGACGGAATCGATGTTGCACAAGGAGGGAAGTGAAGATAGGACAATAATGGGAAGCATGTGTGTGTGGGGGGGATGTGGATGAAGATACAGAGGAGGTAGTTGAGCAAATAAGCAAGAAAGCCAGGAGGTGGTGACTGTACAGATATTTGAATTCAAGAGGGGCTGCAATTCCTATCCATGGCAGGCGTGCAGGGAGTGACCAACGAGGTAGGCAGCAGGCCTGGAATGGAAGACAAGGAACTAGGGGGTCACAGTGTTGAACAGAACCATCCATGGGATGGAGAAAATGGCAGCAGAAGCAGGCGTGGAAGGCTCTAAGGCAGGAGATAAGCTGTTCAACGTCTGAACAGTGGTTAGAAGATCAAGGCCGACAATGAAGGAGTATATAACCAGAAATAAAAGCTTCAAGGGATGACGTGGTTTGCAGGAGAGCTGAGCAGTAGCGGTCTGGTTAGCCACAAAGAGACCACCAAGCAGAGGATGTACACGGCAGTATGGAGGTGGGCGCTCCTGCAGTCACGGTGATTAGAAAGCCAGAAAAAGCAGCTTACGAGGCACGATGAAATTCGTCCTGAGTGTCTCTTAGAGGCAGGGGGCACTAGGTCCTAGAGCTGTGTTCCTGAATGCCCAAGTCAGTATTAATTGCAAGCTGGCAATACAGAGGGATTGCTCCCAGGTATTATTAAATACATGCAAGAAGGCACAGCACAGGGCCTGGGCTTACTGAGTGCCCAATGAGAGAGAGAATCTAGGAAAGGTTCCAGCCATTCCCATTTCCTGCTCGTTTAGGACTTGCACCTGAGGGACCCACCAAGGAGTTTTTAACTTCACCACAAGTCCCTCCTCCCTCCAGAGAGCCACTCAGACACCAGCACAAGTCATCACCCACCAGGGGTTTAATTCTCCTCGAGCAGAAGGTCAGTTCAGAGAGGGGCCCTGTCTTGTCCCCCATCCCGGGGTGGGGGGAAGATCTGCAGAACACCCTGAGAATGTCCAAGCTCAGAGGAGCCAAGAACTCGTCTCTGAGCAAGAGAAGTGGGTCCGGGGACTCAGACCGCCTCCTCCTCTTCACTCTCCTCCTCGCTCTCGTGATACTGTCTGCGGTTGGTGTTAACAAAGAGGTCAGAATCGTCTTCAGAGCTGGACTCTTCTCCTGATGACTCGGGCTCCGCTGGGAGTTCTGGCTGAGTCTGTCTGCATGGGGGAAAAGGGACAGGGTTAATCCAATGCCCTCTGGGAAAACCAGATCTGCAATCAAGGAGCCTCACAAAAAGGAGGACCCCATGGCCAAGAAAAACTATCTAAAGACTACCTCACACCCCACCTCAAAAGTGTGCTAAAACCACTGGTTTTAATAATAAGGATTCTACAACCACCAACTAACACTAAGTGGACTCACAGCACATACGGAGTATTACACTAAGCAATTTCACAAGCATTAACTCCTTTAATCCTCACAAAGCTCCCACTTTATAGATGAGGAAATCCAGGCTTAAGAGATCAAGCAACCTGCTTAAAATCATTCATTTACAAGTGGCAATGCCATGATCTTAACCCAGGACATCTGACCTTCAAGCCGTACTCATAACCACATCTTTAGGAGCACCCACCAGGGACACTACATAGGAAGAAAGAATGTTTCTATTTCCCCCTCAAGGCACCGAGGCCTGAACCCGTATTTTTTTGTCCTAAGGCTTCTCACCTATGCCTGTTGTTGTTGTGTTTCTCGGCCACTTCTGAGAAGGCCTCAGGCCTGTGCCAAGAGAAGAGCCAGGGTCAGAAAGGACAGAAAACTCGATCAGCAAAAAAGCTGTTTTGAGCTATCCCTGCCTGGGATGCCATGATCTTCCCTCCTCCAATTTCACAGCTAGGAAGTCAGTCTCCCCAGAAATGAGGCAGCCAACGACCAAGGGGACTACCCTACCAGAGCCCTTCCTTCTGCAGAGAGCGCACATGGTCTTTGCAGAGCACAAAGGAGATCTCGGCCTTCACTTTTTCTCCCTCTTCAATGGGGTCAACAATGAGAAAGTCCCCTGCAGGTAAGAGAGAACAAAAAACACAGTAGATTCTGCTTCTAACGGGGAAAGCCAAGCTCACAGGAACAGTTGTCTCCTAGAGGCTGCCTCTCTCACCTCTCTTGATCCAGATGTTCTTACGGTATTTGGAGGGCATGCTCACCAAGAAGCGCTGCCCTTGGGCTGTCTCCACTTCATGCAGATTGTTCCCTGGGGTCCTGAGTACCTGGTCCAAGAGAGACCAAGAACTAGTCAGCCTCACCAGTTAGCTCAAATATCCAGTAAGCTGTGCTGCACCCTACCCCCAACCTAGGAGCCCAAGGGGAGTAGAAGGATGGGGAGACAGAGTAGCTTGTGCCCAATGCCACTCACCCTCACAATTTGCTGCTGGTCAGAGGGCACCATGTGCTCCCCCAGCACCTCCTTCACCACATGCTTCCTCTTGGTGGCCTGAGACATGCTGGGTCCTGTCCCAGGGGGGTGAGGGATGCAGAGACTGTCAGCTCCTCCTCCTGAGTTTCTTGGATGGCCAGTTCAGACCTGGGACTGTTCTGAAGATGGAGAGAGACCTTTTACTGAGGAGTGACTGTTTCCTGGTTAAGAATGTGAGCTCCCAAAACCTAATTACTAGGATTCAAATCCTACCTTGGTTATTTCCTAGCTGTTCAACTTCTCTAGCTTCAGAGAAAAATAGTAGCTAACTCTGATCACTGTTAGTAGAATAAAATAATGCAAACTGAACATTTAGTACAGTGTATGGCACATAAAAACAACTCATGTTAGGGGCGCCTGGGTGGCTCAGTCGGTTAAGCCTGTACCTTTGGCTCAGGTCATGATTCCAGGGTGCGCTCCCTGCTCAGTGGGGAGTCTGCTTCTCCTTCTCCCTCTGCCCCTCCACCTGCTTGTGCTCTCTAATAAATAAAATCTTAAAAAAAAAAACCCTCATGTTATATGTACTGGCATAATCACAGAAACTAAATACATGTTCTACAGAAGTCATGCTGGCAATCTCTGGGGAAGGAATGCGCGATAAACCGTATCTTCCTCAACACGTTTGTACGTTCTACGTGTAGCACATTCACACTCCACAGATGCTCAGTTGTTGTTGTTGTTGTTTTTTTAACACACTACAGTGAGAAGCCAATTAGGAGACTCAGAGTGATGGTCCAAGCCAGGAACGAGTTAATAAAATATCGGGTAGGCCGGCTTGGTCGGCTGCATTGGCTAGATTTCTGACGTGGGTACTGAGAAGACAAGGACTGGTACCACCGAGGCTGATGGTTTCCAAAAGCAAACTCCGAAGTGTCACCTCTAGCTGCCGTCCCCTGCCCTCCTACCTCCCTATGCTAGAGCAAAGAAAGACGCTCAGAGACCCACACTTACTCTCTGGCCCTCCCACGGGCGCTGCCCGAACGACCTCGTTCTCCAGGTTGGACGCTGAGAGCGGCTCGCCCACGACTCACTCCGCAGCTGAGTCAACGAGGGCACAGAAGAGGGCCCTGCCGGCGGTCAGGACGCTGGCGTGGACATAAACTCAAGTCCCCTGCGCCTCCGACTCCTACCCGACTCCTCCAGGCCCGGTGACAACGAGGACGACGCGAGTCCTCCTAAGTCGGACCCTTCCGAGCACCGTACTTCCGGTGCTATCTCGGAAGCCTATCGGCCACCTTCCCCTGCCTTGTCCGTGCCTCGAACTCTTCCCCTCGCCGGGTCGGCCAAGGCTAAGTTCTTGAGTTCCCGATGCCGCGTAGCGGGGAATGGAGTTTTCTCGAAGGCCTCAGCTCCCTGAGACCGGACATGCTGCCCGAGAAGCGAGACCATAGAAGGCAGCCGGGCTTCCCGCGAGGCAACCCGAAAGCGGTGCCTACTAAGGACTCTGTTGAGGTCCGGACAGCCTCATCTCTATGGCTCTATGCGGCTAGAAGTGCCCAATTCGGAATTTTTTTTAAAGGCGGCTCTTGAGGCGACCCGGAAGCGGAAGTGGAAGAAAGTTCTAGTGGGTTGGCGGTATCGGTGGGAGCAGCCGGGTGGCGGGAGGAGCCGTTACAGGAGCCGGAGCTGCCGGTGAGCGCTCGCTGCGGAGCAGGGCCCGAGCTGGAGGCGGGAGGCGGTGCGGGGAGGAGGGGAGGAAAGGGGCCTTGGCGCCGTAGCGGGCCAGAGGATGCGCCCTCAGAGAGGGCCCGGGCCGCTCGCTGTGTGGGGAGAGGGCGGGGCGCGGCGCGGCGGCGCGTGGAGGGGGCGGGGCGGCGCGCGGTGGGCGGGGACTGTGGGCGGGGCGGGGCGGGGCGGGACTCCAAGCGGGGACCCGGAGGGGCTGAAGGAGCAGGTGTGCGCGCTCCGGCCCGCGCGCTCTCGCTTTGTGAGCGGTGCGTGCGTGCGGGCGAGCGGGGCCGAGAGACCTTTCATTTGCTTTTCAGGCCGTGGAGCCGCTCCAGGCGGGTTCAGTGCCTTCTTAGTCCCCCAAGGTCACAGAGGGAGTGACAGCTTCAGGGAGGGCCCCGGCTATCGACTCTGGGAAATCTTCCCACTACCCCGCCTGCGCCACCTGTGAGGGCAGGCTGGTTTTTCCTCTGGGGCAGCACGAAAACCCAGTTCCCGCAGAGAACCATTGTTCTGCGTAGCCGGGAAAAGGCTCTTCTTGGACCTCAGTTCTCACATCCGTGAACTGAGGAGAGTTGAGTTAGCAGCCCTGATGGCTGGTTTCGCTTTCTCTTAACGACATTGCACTGGGCCCTTGGGAGTTCCCGGTTTTCAGCCCTAACTACCTTTTCTTGGGATTCCCAGATTAAGCTGATCAAGATGACAACCTCCCAAAAGCACCGAGACTTCGTGGCAGAGCCCATGGGGGAAAAGCCAGTGGGGAGCCTGGCCGGGATTGGTGAAGTCTTGGGCAAGAAGCTGGAGGAAAGGGGCTTTGACAAGGTGTGGGGTGGCTGCATGCACCTGGGAAGGGCTGGGGGTGGCGGACTACCATATTTCCTGGCACTTTGGGGTTGAGGAAAGTGAGAGTAGCTGTTGGGGGTGGCCAGTGGTGTGTGATCTGAAGAGACAGCCACAGCCTGCCCTACTTCTTCGGCTCATGCGCTTTGAATGCCACAAAAGTGGCCTTCTTGTTCTTCCTTGGTCCCACAGAGCAGTTAGCAGCATGCCCTTTACTTTGCCTGTTTTGCAGGCCTATGTGGTCCTTGGCCAGTTTCTGGTGCTAAAGAAAGATGAAGATCTCTTCCGGGAATGGCTGAAGGACACATGTGGTGCCAATGCCAAGCAGTCCCGGGACTGCTTCGGGTGCCTTCGAGAGTGGTGCGACGCCTTCTTGTGAGGCTCTCTTGGGGAGCCCCCAGTCCCTAGCCCCAGCATTGAGTCTCCAGAGTTTGCAGCCGCATGGGGACTCCTCCCCTGTCCTCTACAAAGGAAGAGATTGCTGTTGTTGTACTCACTTCTGATGTACTTCAAGGTCTTCTGGGAGTTCTCTCCTCTCACCATTTCAACTTTTTTGAAATTCTTGCTCTTGCATGCATCTCCCTTCTTCCCCGCCAGTTTCGTGTCAACAATTATCAGCTTTTCCGAGTGGATTCCTGGCCCTTCTTTCACCCCCTGCCCCCACTGGTCTGTTTTATGCTATTTGGCTCCTTTTTTTGGCAGAGTAGTCACTGTCCTTGTAAAGTTTTTTAAATCAATAAAGTCAGTGGCTTTCATGACTGGGCTTCATGTGTTGAAAAGCGGGTGGGCTGGGACTTCCCCAGGGACTGACCAGGTCTGCCACACTCCTTATCGGTGCAGATCGAAACTGGCAGCTTCCTTCCCATTCTGGAGGGCAGCCACCCTAGCCACATGGGCCTCAGGCAGGTGCCTTGGAGTGTCCCTTAGTAATCTGGCAGAGAGTGTGGGTTGATCCCTTCCTGGGATCTGGGTGGGCTGTGATGTTCCAGATGTCAGCCGAGTCAACAGCTGGGCTAGGCAGCACCTGCTGGAAAAGTCAGTGGGAGTCAGATACCAGGAAGAGGGTGGGTCAAATGTGGGTTAGAGTTCACCTGCCAAATGTCATGTGCTCACCTGGCCTCTGGGAGGAGTGGGCAGGGCTCTGGTTGTCTGCCTGGCGCTCCCTCAGGGAGGCAGAAAGAACATGGACGTCACAGCACTGGGGGCTTGAGTGAGCTACACTTTTGTTGGGGACATTTTTGTCCTGGTCTTTGTTGAACACTCAGTATGAACCAGGCCCATGGCTAAGATTTTTGCAAACATTTTTTTCTCCCACAGTAATAAGTAATTGTTTTCTCTTTTATAGGTGAGGAAACCAGAGGCTCAGAAAGACTGAGTAATTTGACTGGATTTACTGCTAGGAAGGAGCCAGGTTGGTTCTCAAAATGTAACTCAAAACCCATGTACCTGAGGGCCCTTTGTTCCCTGGTCATGTCACTTGGCCTCCCTGAGCCTCTGTTTCCCCACTTGGAAAATGAGGTGGTTAGACCAGAGGAAATGCTAGCTGTATGGCACCCAGTCCTGCTTGGACTTCATTCCTTCCACAGAGCATTGTTGAGGAACTGCTTGCTTACAGAATTTTCCTCAGAGGGTTTACAGTCCGGTGAGGAGAGAATGACAGATATTAAATGCAAAAACTGGGAAACCATGAGAAGTTTCTTGTGATCTCAGGGTAGGGAAAAGTTGATAAATTAAACTCCATTAATAGAAATTTTGTTTGTCTAAAGAAACCACGAAGAGGGTGGCAATGCTAACCCAGGGTGGGAAAGGGTATTTGCAGTACACATAAGCAACGTGGGACTGCGTCCAGAGGAGGTAACTATGATGAAGACAAAGCCGACAACACAATAGAGAAAGAGTAAAAGACCTGTAAGGCAGCCACGAGAGGAATACCCAGATGGTGAATAAGCTCTCGAAAAGGTGGTTGGTCACAGCAGTGATTGGAAACGCAAATGAGATGCCATTACACACCCACTGGCAAAAATTCTAAAGTCAAACAATACTAAGTGCTGATAAGGGAATGGAGCAACAGTTTCTGACATCCAGCTGGTGGGAGTGTAAATTGGCCTGAACCCTTGGGAAAGCAGTTGGGCGTTTTCTAGTAAAGCTGAAGATAAGACCCGTCCCATGACCTGGTGGTTCCACTCCCAGAGCTGTTTCTAAGGACACCGGTACACCTGCACCTGAATGTGTGTTCACCGCAGCTTTATTTATAACAACCCCCAAGGCTGTCCATACCAGTGAAAACGAACAAATGACAGGTGAATTTCAATGCTGAGCAAACAAAACAAAATGTCAAATAGTGTGATTCCATTCACGTAAAGCTGATAAGTGGATTCTTGCTCAGTAATCTCTATTGGTGGTAAAACTAGAAAAAGCAAGGAAATGCTTATTGCAAAAATCAATAGTAGAAAGAAGTGTAATGACCTTTGTGGGAAGGAGGCAGGTGTGAGGAGTAGGGGGCTTGGGGGTGGGGGTGGCAGTTTCCACGTCTTGACCTGTGTGGTGGTAATACGGGCATTGACTAAGTATCTGCTAACTAAACAGATGGGTTCTTTGTGCTTTTCTGAATATTAGCTACATTTCTGAATAGTAGAAGGATAAAAA